TTTATTTGCAATAGAAGTTAATAGAACACACGCATGTATGCCTCTTGCAAGTTTTCGACGGTATTAAGTTAGCATTTAAAAAAATTTTTAATTTGTTCAATTTACATGAGATAATAATTATATAAGGCCAAAAATTCGACATTCCAGAAATTCGACATTCGCTGTGGTTGACTGAAGATTAGGAAGATAGGAAGGTAATTTAAAATACTTTTTGGTATAGGTTGAATAACATAAGCTTTATTTTCCGTTTTATGAAATACACATCTCTTTCATACATATATGCACACATACAAATTATTCTTACATATTTTTTTGTATAAACACAGACGTTTTTCGTGTTTCACTTCGAGCTCACGTTTTTATTAAATTTTGAATTCTTAAATTAAAAATACATATATTGTTATTTGTTCATATGAGAAAATTCTAAGTTTATGTAATATAATATATAATATAATATAATATAATAAATTAAAAAGAAGTGCCAGTGTAAAATTGCATTTAAAAATATTTATACTTTTAGGCTTCCATAAGTAATATCTAAGATAACTTAATCATTTACACATTAGTTATATTTTTGTACATACATACATGTAGCATAGAATAGATCTAAACAATATACATGAATATAACAATATACATGAACAATATACATGCGGAATAAAATTGAAGATTGTGTTACTCGCCGGAAATATCCGTAATCTGAGAGAGAATTTTCGAATGCGCAATTTTTCGAGAATAATTAAAGCTTAGCAGTCGATCTCGAAGAATGGATGTAGCACGGACACGAACCACGTCCACGTTCTCGTGCTATGATTTGATCGACAATGTTATAAGATAGATGTGGTACGTAGTTTCTTTTTTGAAAACGTGGACGTGGGGCTCTAGTGTACGGAGGAGATCGCCAGTCCCACCCAAAAAGCCGGCGTGGCCGCTCTCGTGTTTCTCTCTGTCAACGGTCTTCAATCCCGTTCTGTGTTACGTGCATTGTTTCAATACTTTCAATTGTTTGGTTAGAAGGGAGTTTTTGATGAGACAGATTTATTTATCGGAATCATTTACGAGCGGTTTATGCACGAGTCAGTCGGTTTCAACGTAAATTGCGGGATACGGGCGCTGTCAGATCGTTCGTCAAACAGCGATAGTAAAGGGAAGAGATGTCATTTTAGAAGCATCGAAGGTGCCTGACCCGCGATACATTTTGCAAATTTTCTGAATTCGTACTTGATTTTGGACTTGTTGATTGTGCTTGACGGTCTTTTGGCACATTCAAATCCGGTAAAATTCCAATTTTTTTACGGACATTTAATATAATTGCTATAACCTTGTTTGTCGGTCAGATGATCTCTAGTTGTTTATTATTACTGAAATATATCAGTCAAACAGTCTTGTAACATACATTATACATGTACTCTTGTAACAAAATTAATTATTTACAGAATTGCGTCTCTGTATGTGTGTGTGTTAATTATTTATAGAATCTTATCTCTCTACGCAGGTGTAATTATTCTCGGTAATAAGATTCCTCGTTAATACTAAAAAAAAAAAATGGAAGCCCCTGTGGAAACAGTCTATCGTCCCCAAATTTCTCTGTTGGTTATCTTGAGCAACGATTGAAAACTATAAATACGTCGAGAAAACATGTGCAGATGTTACGGACTACTATTGGGTGGATGACAGGCTTATCAAGGATGGATCCCAACAAGAGATCAGGAGTGATTAGTAACACTGCCGCGCCGTCTGAGAGCTCGGACTCTATAGAGGTACGTATGGATGCGTTAACGAAAAATCCAAGTCATTTGAATGCTTATTTGTTGCCCTGACATGCGACATTCAACCTTGTAATCTATTGGATTGCAGGTGGACAATTCACGTACAGTCCTGCTAAAGATAGCAACACTGTACGCAGAGCGTCTTATGAATGATATTTGTCTTGTTGTGGATGGCGTGGAGTATCCGGCACATCGACTTATACTCTGTGCTTCTAGCGATGTTTTCCAAGTGAGTACGAAAATCTGTACGATTGAATGTGAATTGAAGACCTGTCGCATAGCGATACACACACTCAACAATCGATTAAATTACAGGTAATGCTGATGAATCCGCAATGGAGCGAGTCTCAGGAAACCAGGGTAACTCTCCAGGAAACGCCACAATGTGCGCCAATATTCAGCGAGTTTTTGCGGTATTTTTACACTGGCCAGATAAGAATAAACTATAGCGTCGTTCTACCGATATTGTCCCTAGCCGATAAGTACAACGTCAAAGATTTGATATCGTTGTGCCTTGACTACATGCGAAATCACATCGCACTGGCCGCCACGCACGGCACATTGGTATCGTGGCTGCAATACACGCTGAACTGTGGGCATCATGACATCAGCCAGGCGTGCCAGAACTTCATCAAGTGGAATTTGGAGCTTGTGGCCAGGACTAGCCAGGACTTTGGTAATTTCGATCTAGACATCCTAGTGTCCCTGCTGCATCAGAGTAGCTTAGTCGTGAAGGACGAGATGACGCTCTACAAGTGCCTAGAATATTGGCTGAATTATCAGGCGGGTCGTCTGAGAACGCAACTGCCGCCGGACGAGGTGGAGGCGACGCTGTATCAGCTGGTGATAGCGGTGATGTCGCCCGTTCGATTTCCAATGATGTCGCCGCGGCAATTGGCGGATCTGCTGTTGTCGCCGTTGACGAAGAAGTACAAGGAGTTCTTTGTGGAACGTATGTCGATTGGCATGTCCTTCCATTCGGGTCAGATCAACAGAGTGAGGGAGGTCAGCATGAGCGAGGAGGATGGCGCGTTGCTGTTCGAGCCGAGATTGTACACCGTTGACACGTGTAGCTCGTTACTGACCATAGAGAACTTTCACAGTTTACCATCTTACCACATGAGGACACTTGTATTCTCTAGTCACTCCAGTTTAGCGGAGTATGCAGGCGATAAGGTGTGCGAGTGGGTGGTAGATATTTATCCCAAGGGCGTGTGGTTCAAGAAGTTTTTCCTTATAGTCTGGCAGGGCACGGTAGAGATGCCCGAGCACGTCAAGCGATCGGTGAGATTGTCGTTGACCTGCAAGGAGCCGTTAAATAGTAACATGCGCGTGAAAATCGGTGTTTTGATTTACGGCTTGCAGGATGGTGTTGAGCATATTGCGAGAGTTACCGAGATTATTCATAGATTCAGTAAGAAGGATCGCGTCCTGAATTTGGACGACCTCCTGCCGTTCGAGGAGCTCAATCCGCAACAGGGCTCAGTATCGGAAAATGTAGTGTCTCCCTTTTTAGTGGGCCCCAATAAGGACATGCTCAAATTACATATTGTTATATCGCCAGCGAATTAGCGTTTACACAGTCCACGATACAAAAGTATTACAGAGAGAGGTAAATGTAAAAATATTCGTGTTCTACATTTTTACAAGAAATGCATAAGAAAATATGAATTTTATATTTCTAAGTACTTCATACCATTGTTTTTTTTTCTTTGAGAAAGACGAATATTTTTTTCCAACATATATAAAACAACTAGAAAAGAAATATTATAAAATGTGACATGTAATTACATATTCTCGGGCATTTAGTTTCTAAATCTTATATACGAATTGACTGTCTACCACAAACGTTATATTATTTAGACTGTGTAATCTTAACCCAGTAAGAAGTAATCGCCAATTTGCCATGTCGAATTGATGTCGATATGGTGATTTCGACATCAATTCGACATCGAATTGAAGGCTATTTGACCACTGGGAATGAAGTATATGTATACATTACATTGCAACTATAACATATCAAATGCAATGTACTTTAGTAAAAAAATAAGAAAAACATAGTATTTAGTAAAAGAAAGAGAAAAGCTTAGTGTTCTGCTGTTGTGCTGTAAGTGTAATTCTATGAAGTTCTAAACATATAAACTTCTATTCCTACAATTTTGTCTGCATACATGAGAGTGCGTATTGTATACATATAATCGATATATGAATGTAAAATGGTGAGGCTATTATAACATATAACAATGCAGAATGCGAGCGCATTTTATGGAGGCATAGGCATACGTTAATAGACTTGTATGTTAAATGTGTTTCGCAAACTGACATTTTTGTAATGAGAGATGTAACCCTAAAAGGGTAACAAGAACTTTTCTAAAGTATCACACAGAATTTGCAATGTTCTGTACTTTACTGAAGAGAAGAAAAAAGCCGTTTCTAAGATATATGTAGCTGTTTTCAGTTCTATAACTGCAATTTTAGACGCGGTTTATTGTTATTAGTTCATTATTACGAATTTGAGATATTGAATCAATGCGGGAGACACGCTTGTTTCTTTTGTGCAATTAGTATGGTCCTCGTGAATCGTTGACTGACGAGTCTTTCTCCGTAGCACTGCGGTTACGCAATATCTCACGGGGATCATGTCGTGCTTTATCCAACGATCCCGCGGTTTTGATTTAAATATAATTAAAAGAGACCGTTACTAATCAATAAAGATTAACCCTAATTGGTATTCGCTTCGAAATTTATTTAAGAGGATGCTGGAGTCGACTGTATTATCAACGCACATTTCGTATTTTTCTATTTTTTTTTTTTTTGCTTTTCTTTTACAGAATAAAATCTTTCTCCAAAAAATAAGACAAATAAATATGGAGAAATACCAGCATCCTCTTAAGATAAAATGAGAAATAATGAATTACAAAATTATTTGAAGTGTTAAATAAATTTAAACTAGAATATTTTGAATAAATGGGGGATAATGAGAACACATTATAAAACGAACGCAATGATTATTTCTTTATTCGTAAACATAAGATATGTAAGAACTAACGGAATATCTTTTTTGGCTAGTAGTAGCTGATTTATTTCAGTACTTCACACATCGTGTCTCAATTTCAGTATATTTTAACATACAAAAGAAGTTGAGTGATTTATAATTTCTTTTTATAATGTTCGTTTAATTGTTTTTCAAGGCTGTTTATAAAGTTGATTTATCTCCGCAATAAAAGCCTCATTAAATGTTGTAATGTCCTAAAAGAAATTATAGCGGCAGAGTTACAAAATTAAATGCGAGGTAATATTAGATCGCCAGCAGTTTTCAAAAGCGCAGACTAATTCGCCGCATAAAGATCGAAGATGAAGAAGAACTGGAGAAGGTAGAATAACGTGACACACGATCGTAATAGCTGCAATGTAAAATATATTCTATCTACATCTAGCACGCGAGTGCGAACGATCTAGGGGAAACCCGGCGTGATGACGTTTTACTCGTTGTTTTTGCCGAATCGTGGATGCCCGTACTCCTCGTCGTCGCCGTTGGACCGCTTGCCGAATCTCATGTGACCGTAATCGTCCAGTTGTTGCCGCTTGCTGAGTCGTAAGTTATCCTCGTCCTCGCCGACGAGATCCTCCACAAGGTCCTTCACGAGACTTTCCATGCCATATCTGCGGTAAGAGCACATCACGAAATAGTCAGAATATCACTCATTTTTAAATCCCGGCTCCAAATTATTCCGAGTGTTTTATCATTTGGTTCTCCAGTTGTATTTATATGTATATTTGCTTATGCTATAGCACAGTAATTACCCGCGGATATGTGGATGATTTCCTAAATTGCGACGAATGCCAGTGATTAATCCAGGGGCTGCTTTACATCTTCCGCAGAACAGCCACATGACTGCGATCATGCAGGACAGCGCAAGAGTCAGATTCATGTCTGTAATTATATTCATTTAATTTTTTATTTTATTAACAAATCTTCATCAAATAGACACATAATCATCAGTCACTGGAACATATACATTTTTTCTGTTAGCAATAATTAATAATGATAATTGCATAATAATATCTTCATTTCTTATGAGATTTTGAATTAAATTTATGAAACTGATGTAAATAGTCTCAAACAGTTATAAGTCAAATTATTTGGTTTCTATTTTCCAGAGTCTATTAGTTTCAACGTTTTTAATTTATAAAAATATATACTTTAAATTTTATGGTATACATTAATGTTAAGGATATTAAAAAAACACCAGAATTTTATTTTAATTTAAAATATAAATTAAAAATTTTAAATTAAAAAATATTTAAATTAAACGTAGAGTGCATAATATTTAAAAATATGACATGTTTTATGTAGGTACAAATATTAATAGATTACACATAACTAAAATAAATTAATACTTTCTTGCATTTTTATATTAAATATTTTAACTACAATTTTTGTTGTCTATCAGAAAATACTCGACAAGTTATTTAAGTCTCAGATATTTAGGCATTTAAAATAAACAAGTAATTCAAAAAAGGATAATTTTTTATGAAAAAAAAATTATCTCGTTAACAGAAAAAACTGCAATGGTAATAGGCATTTATTAATGTTTTAGTACATATATACATAAAAATTTTATCACTTTTTACTATATACACAGTCCGCCTTGCCGTTGACACGTCCATATCTTTTGATAACAGAAGTTTAATAACAAACAAAAATGAAGAGAGTAAGACAATTTGATAATGTTGTTAATTTTTTTAAATATTGATAATAAATACGCAATCGAACGAATTATACTGAACGAGAGAAACGAAAATCACTCGATATGAACTTGTCCGCGAATATAAACTGCAGGAATTAAGTTGCGGGTGAGAAGACAATTAGTGTTTCCAAAAGCATCCTGTATTCGCTTACCTGCGTGTACCGGATGTCGAGGAAATCGGCGATGGAGTGTGCGATAAGCGCAGCGATGGCTTTTTTATACCGCGGCCGACTTTGTTCATTTTTCCCCCTCCTGGAGCTGGAAAAATCGCGCGGGGGTGAAAACGCGCGCGCGGGCTGGCGTTGAATTTTAATTCACGTACCGCCACTAGTGATAAACAATTTTCTTCCGTCTTTCTGCGAGCCACTTCCGCCACCGACGACCGCTCAATATTCCGTGATGTTGCGCGATGATTGGCAGAGCACCGGCTAAACGCATTACTGATGTCACGTTCAGGCTTTTTTATATTCCCTTCTGAGGAAAACCTGGCAGGAGAAGTCAGACGTTAAAATCCTTTTCAGCGAAATGAGAGTGTGGGCAGCGCCCCTTGATAAATAACGACGTGAACAAGCTGCGTACTCAAACCTGTCGGCTGCGAGTTATTTTTACGTAGCTGCTTTTCTCGATTTGTCTGATTAAAAAGTAAGTACGCTGACGAGAAGAATGAGCGCAATTGCTTAAGATATTACGTAAGATAAAATACTTCAACACAAGAAATTTAATTGCTGTTTCAATAAACGATTTAATAGAAATTTAATTTAAAAAAAAGTCTATTAAATTTAAAATTATCTAATACAACAGTTTCGCTTCTATTGCATTATTATCTAATTACAAAGTTATTGATGAATTTTTTTCTCTAAATAAAGCATAGCTGAAGCTTGAAATTAAAATTTTATTGAAAATAAAGTTTCTTGAAAATAAATCAATGAAATAAGTTAAGAAATATGTTCCTTTATTATCTATATTCGCTATTCTTAAAGCTTTATTTATAAAAAAATTTCTGTAATTTTTTTCTTAAGTAATTATAGAAAAATAAGAAATGAACGTAAAAGTTTTTAACACACGATAAAAAATATTTTGCACTTGCATTAAAAATGGTCCACTCAAATATTTGTAAAATTCTTAAGTTACATTTTTAATATATTTGAATGTTAATTTAACATAATGTGATTATGTTAATTTGAATATCTTGTGTTAAATTGATTTAGTTTACATTTTTTAATTTTAAAATAATACAATTTATCAGTAAGTAAATAAATTACATATAAATAATATAATTTCAAAACGTATAATTTTTTTCTCTAAAATAAATGTTTATTTAACGTATTGTAAGTGTTAATTTTATTGAAGAAATATATTTCTATAATTTGTTTCCAAATTGTATCAAAGTATTACATTCTTTGTGTTAATTTTTAAACAATGTTTGTTTTCCTTTTGAACGTATTTATCTTGTGTTGACACAAATTTGGATGGACCATTTGAGATATGTGAGATGTGCTAAATTTAGCACAAAGTTTCCAACGGTGTAAAATAACTTTCTAAATAAATGACGAAATCTTTTATTTTATTTTTTATTGGTTCTAACCGATTTTAATTTTATTGTTTTTCTCAATTGTAATTAACGATCATAGATTATTTTTATTCCAATTGAAATATTCCTAAAACTAAAATAAAACTTAAATAATATATTAATCTATTTTGACGAAAGATATTTATGTCGATGTGATACATTTTGACATAATTTTTCACGATGTGTTTCCAAGTGATAGAAATTAACGTGGCGAAACATATTGCACCATCATACGAGGTCACGGTCACAATCATCAATGGCTTCCGCGTTTGAGGTGCTTCCTGCGAGTCTTATAAATCGAGACTCGACGGTTCATCCATCGGGCTGAATCACTTTTACAGTTGTAGAACTACTGATTGTTCGGTCGGGCATCAATTAGCAACTCCGCGAATAACCATGTAACTCTGCCAGTTTTCGTTCTCATTTTGCAATATCAGAATGACGGTGGAGAACAGAGAAATGATGATCCAAAAAGGTCTATCGGAATGGTGGAGTGAGGAAACAGAATACGTTTTCCAGAGGATTGAGAGATGGGCGGCCTTTGCGCGTGGTTACAATCGACTTCAATCGCAAAGGTGAGAGAGAAAGAGAGAGAAACGTTCATTAATGATTATTATTGAAATAACTTTTAAGAATCGAGCAGTATATACATTATACATAATAACGTTTAAATAATTATATACAAATAAAATGTAATACATATAAAAAGAAATACTTTTAATATATATTTTAATGTATACCAAAAATCAATCAGATGGTTCAAGAATCGGCAAACAACGCAAAAATCCTGGAACGCGTCTTCCGAAACTCCACAACTTCACAGTCTCAAACGATCCAGATCGCGTCCGGAGGAAATCAAGATTAACTGCTGCGGCACTTTAAATTATCAATCGAATAGTAACCTGGACAGCAATTGCTTAGAAACGTATCGATACGACCATAGTATCTACTTCAAGACTATCGGCGATATTAGAAGTGACAAAAGAGATCAAAATCAGAATCAGGATAGTGCGTCTATCAGCAGTGAGGAGCAGGTTGAGTGGGACGCCAGCTCGATCGTCGATCCAATTTCTAATAAACTGCCCTCCGAAAAGACTATTTCAGATGCTGTTACTGAACAGAAGGACAGAGGGACACAAAATACTTGGCCAATCGTGGATTTATCCGAATTTGATCTGAATCTGATAGATTATCAAAAAGGAAACGAGTGGCTCTCTCGTCCGGTTGATAATAAAGATAATTGTGAAAGCGAAGAAAGGCAGACGGAGAACAACAATGTGATATTTTTGGATAATTTGAAGGATAAAAAGGATCAAGAAAATAGGTCAAAGAATCAGGAAAGAAGCAAGTTTCACTCGTTCCGGAAAACTAAACGATCGTCCAAGAACCTGCGGAAATCGTCAATCGTCGGTGAAAACAATGTCGTTTGGCCGGGAGTTCTTTTGAATTACACCAACAACTTCGATGTTGCCAGTAACGCTCCGAAGGATTAATAAAAGTAAATTTGAGCTAAAAAAAATTGCGCATAAACGCGTGAGCGTTTTGACTTGCAATGAACCGTCAAATTTTATAAAATATATGATGACAATTTATGTTGGTGTGCTTTTTCGCTCGAAATAAAAATGTGTTTATTTTCATTTTATTATTTTTATTAAGTTCTTTTTATTAATTTTATCTATATAAAATTCTGCATTTCCTTGAATATTTTGTTAATTTTTTCCTTTTAATTAAATCAAAGTCTAACACTTTCTAGAGAAAAAATATATCAAGTGTAATAAATTTAAAATAATCAATAGCACTGTTATGTGTCTATTATAAGATATAAGAAGTTCAAGAAATTAATGTACTTTATATCTTATTTTCTTCAATAAAAAAATAGCAGAGATTTATATCTATCAGAGCTTTTGAGTTGTTACATAAAGATAATGTTATGCGCTAATGAATCTTTTATAATTAATCTACAAAATTACAGATCTCTACTATAAATAATTTTTATACTTTGTATTTATCACAATATTTTTTATTAAAGTTTTAACAATATCCTTTTAAATAAATCCTATTTAATTTAATTCTAATAACTTAATATATATCAGAGATTTAATTTTTTAAACATGCTGAAATACATACATATATGTTTTACTGAATGTGGAAAGAGTTGAAGGGTTGTGTGAAGGGTGTATATTACCGATCGTTGATGAAAAAATTTTGCGTAAGTAAGGACATGACGACGATTGCAAATATGATGATCTCTAATTTTATAGAGAGAATTTTTTCTAAAAATGTTATATGCCATGTTTTGTGTTTTTTCCATTTATCATACTGCACTTCCGGAAGGAAAGTGAAACAAGTCAAAAATATAAAATTGTTAAAAAAAAAAATTGTGTATTTTTTAATTAATTATTTATTAGATATGGCAGTAATAAACATAAGTTAATTTAAAGCTAATTATAAATCGCTTTTTTTAAGTTCTTTAGATGTAAACACTAATTAATTTTATCGTGGTATTATGTTATCCCTAAAAACAACCCTTATTTTAATTTGTGTCATTTTTCTTTGAAAAGTTTTTGAATTCAATTTGTCACTTTTCTTGATTGAAGACCAATTTAAAACATAATCTGTACATAATTAAATTTGTAAAATTATAACTTGTATCACTGTTTTTGCGGAAGTGTGATTATATTATTTATGTTATCTACCGCGGTCCAGTACATTGAGAGTTATTTTAATTAAAAAAATTCGATGATCTAATCTCTTAAATGATAATTCTAATTTCTAATTTCTTGTTCTAATTTCTTTAATGCAATATTTCGAGCGACATCTTAATGAATTAAAGGGCCTTGTAAAACCTTTCTAGATTCTTTTATATGATATTTATTGGATATTCATGTCATATGATGTAATCGCTTGTTCATCAGCTATTTCAATTAAGGAGACTGCCACCATAGCATTCAATATTTCAATTCGACGGAACGCCTGAGGAACGTCTCTCAAGAAAAGAGCCTTACAACGATATTCGTTTGCAGTACCCGTGATATACTTGCTCCCGTTACATAGAGAATTGTTCCGATAAGGGGAGTTCCCACTATCGCCATAGCACTCTCGCGGGGTAGCGCGCATGCACCAGTTGAGAGAGGGGCAGGAGAGCCACGCACGCAACACGTAAGTATACTCGCAAATCCTCTCGCAAATCGATCGCGCGAACTCCGCTTGCTGCCCAAGTGAGACTTGGTAGTGCGTAATACCCATACCTCCGAATCGTGAGGGTTTTATCGCAAGCGAGAACAGGAAAAGGAGGCAAACAACCAAGATGAGCAAGCGGCTAGAGACCGTGGCCACGATGACCTGTATGAAGACCCTGCTGATGCTTTTCAATTTCATCTTCCTGGTAAGTCGACATCTCCAAAAACCTCAACGTCACATGCGTAACGATCACGGAAACTCCTTATCATGCATTCTGATCCTGCCCAACTGTTGCGCAAGTGATTATTGCGTTATAATACCGAGTACTGATTGAATTTGTGTGTATTCTACGGGGAAATATGCATAATAATGACGTACTGTCAATGCATTTAAGCTCCTCAACTCGGAACAGGGTCGAGTAACTAGGGAATAAATGCCAGGTGGTAAATGCGCGGCGATGGATAAACGTGACCTTGAATGTGATGTCAATCTGGATAACGCGATACTTTAAAAGATAAATATTTAATACAAATAAGACTGAAAAACGTTTTTATCGGTCAAAGCGGATCTTTGTGCTTAATAATATTTTTATGTAAATTTTTACAATTTCCAGTTCATGCAAACTATATAATAATAAGTTTGCAGAAATGGAAATTGTAAAAACACTTATAAAATATTAGGTATAATCAAGACCCGCTGATAAAGGAGCTCTTTATTTATTTGTGTCGTCTTCCCATTGTTCCTTTTCCATTAATTATTCTTTATAAATGTTAACATTAAAAATTTAGAGATCCCAGGAAATACATTTAAGAATACAGAGTTTTTAAAAATTTCCACACGTCACAACATAAAAGTATGTATAAAATGACGAAAATATATATATATAGATTAATTGCCATAATGTCACATAGCTCTACCAAAGTAAATAAAAAATATATATGTAATACCTTTTTTTATTTGATTATATAAAATAAAATAAAAATATATATTATATACAAATATCTAATTTTTTATTTGATTCAGGCTCGGTTTCACAATTCCCGGTTAATTCAATTTAACCAAAATTCAATTCGCTATATCTTTTTCTAATCTAAGAATTAGAAAGAAATATACAGTAAGTTAAAGTTTAAACTGAGATTAAAGTTAATCTTACTTGTACCAGGCCTCAGTGAGAGCTATGTAACATGACAATCTGTACATTTCCATCATTCGTTATCCTTGAACCTTTGAATCAGTTCAGAATTTTCAAGCGCGTTAATTATACGGCTTATCGGCAGATTGCACGTTCATAAATATGTGAGTATACAAGCGACTGTTATCGCTTCTAACATTAGTGACCATTACTTCTGTCAGTCTCAAAATGCCAATGTTGTCACCAAAACGATGATTGCTAAATAATCTGTAACACCAGTTTCTTCGACACTATCCTACTCTTTAAACTAACATTATCGAACATTATGTTCAATACATTATTCTACGTATTATTATGCTCCAATATAAATATGTATCACGAGGAAAACTTATCTTAATTTTTGTAGAAATCTATATGTACCTATATATATTGTAAGTACACATTCGCAGAAGACAAATTTTTATCGAAGTCAATGGCACAATCACAGTCATTTATTAATATACGAGCGCGCTCGTCTCAAATTTTTTTCAGACAATTCAACGGAATTGCTTAAATTCGCGATTAACACGCCATTCGGCGGATAGCTTTAATGTCTTGTATATTTTTTCAGGCGTCTGGGATATTGATATTATGCATCGGCGTATGGATGCGCATCCAGCTGCGGAATTACATGAACATGAGTGTGCAGGGCAGCGGGGCCGCTCTGCTGGCACTCGCGAGCTTAGGCGCGGTGTTAGCGGTCGCGGCGATCCTCGCCTGTTGCTGCACCGCGCGTGGCCATCCTGCTCTACTGTATTTGGTAGGCATTTCATTTATGTATTTCAGAGTTAATTCACGACGAGAATAAAATTTCGTTATGATTTCATGATGTAAAGGATGCGCGTACGAAAAATCAGCATATACATATCGGAATCAGAATACATATCGGAACGGACACACATCGTGTGTGGGTCTATATGTTCACACCCACGCGCTATATAAGATTATAAATAGAATCCCATCATGAATCATAGATCGCGAATTAAAGTGGGCTTTAGGTCCCTTAGGAACGGTAGGATGAAATTACAGGTCGATATTCGATACAATATCATTACGTAAGGGGCGAATAGCTTCTCAGCTGTGGAAAAGGATGCTCGTCGCGCTTTTATAACGTATAAAGTAATAATCAATTATATCGTAAATGTCTCGCAAATCTACAATACTTGAAATCATCTTAAGACTTTTACAATCAGAGAAGCGTTAAGTTTTTTTGAATGGAAATTTGAATTTTAGCGAAAAAATATAGCGCGAAGTAGAAGTTCGTGCGAATAATCTTCCAGCGAAAGTTTATAATTTTGTGGAGGATATCTCGAAGAGGAGGAAAAAAAAATAAAAGTAGAGATTCTCCGTGGATTTTACGTGAAATAATTCTTTTCTTCTGCGAAGTACGGCGCATTCCTGGCCGTCGTGGCACTGCTGGAACTCGGTGCGGGCGCGTCGGTTTACGCTTATCGCACGAGCTTGAACGAGGGATTCGATCAAGGCCTGAACGAGAGCATGGCAGCCTACGACCAGTCCAAGAGCATCGATACCATGCAATCGACTGTGAGTACCTTCACGTGTTCCATTCACCTTCGATTATGCCGATAATTGTTCTGTCAATTGAACGTCAATTGTTCTGATTGGAAATCAGATAATTGAACGTTTCGTATTTTAATATACAGAAGGAATTACGGGACGGAGTGAGATAGAGATGGAAACTTGCTCTTTTTTTCTCACTCCCCGTTATACACAGTTGTGTTATGTCGCGTATTTGAAAAGCTTAATTGATTGATTACAGCTGCATTGCTGCGGCAATCGCGGTTATGCCGATTGGCTCAATCTGGATCCACCGAAGGACATTCCCTTGTCCTGCTGCAAAGTGCAGGAAAAATGCCCAACGCGAGACCCAGATGAAATTTATACCGAGGTATATATATTTTCTATCTCTTAATTGCCTAAATTTTTGCAAGAGAGCTCTTTTATTTATCATATCAAATATACATAAAATATAGTGTAGAAAACCATTAACATATTGACTGTTATGATGATCGGCCTTACTGATGACCGACGAAATTTTTTAAAATAAATATCACCTATCTAATATAAATTTTTAAATAACATGAATAATTAGATAAATAAAATGTAAAGTAAAAAGTATGTACGTAAAAATGAAATACAATACTTATGAGGATACAGTCTTGTTACACAATATTTCATTATTATGTGCTTATTGTTAATAAAAATTCTACTGTGACGTACGTAATAATAATAAGACATATTAAAGGTTGTTGAGCAGACGTGTTAAAATGTTAAACGCTTGATTGTTATCTCAATAATTGTGATAATTGCAAGTATATATAATTCGCAGTAGAAGCTAAGAGAGAAAATAAATGCAATACAATTTAAAAAAAAGATAATAAATAGAAAAGATAAAAAAAGAAAAACTGATGTAAAAAATAAAAATCAAATCTATGTAGTTTTTCCGATTCTTTTCGATTTTGGTTCTACAATTCTTTGTAATTCTTTTCCTCAGGGATGCTACAATCGTGTGCTCGACTTCATAAACAGCAACATCGGTTTGGTCGCCGGTACAGCGATCGGCGTAGCCATTTTCCCACTGGTCGGTATTTTCCTAGCGTGCTGCCTAGCCAGTAATATTAATAAAGCCGAGTACGAGCAGGTTGCTTAGGCATCGCACTTGCGCAAACAGCAACGACGATCCTACCAGAAAACAAAATCTGCATCGCTGACGACAACGGCGAACATACACGACTTAATGGGAACGTGGAAATGATCTCGATCGAGGCAAGCGCGCACTTTATCACTAATTCAGTTCTAATTGACAATTTCGGTACGAAAATGAGGTAAAAGTTCACAATATCTATTTGTAATGTGCAATTACATCTAAAGTGGACCTTATTATATATACTAAATTATATATTCACATCATTCTTGCATTAAGCCCTTTAATTCTTATTTAAGTGCTTGATTAATCAAAAGTCGCGCTCTCATGTTCTGGCTATGAATCATTCGAATCAAAATTAATATAAATCGATAATGTTATATCGAGTTATATTTACTTGATTTAATACCATTATAAGATTACCAGTAATAATCTTCTCATACATTTGGAACTTATATAAAGACTCATCTTCAAAAGTACACTTCATATAACAATTAGAAATAAATAATAACATATATAGATCTTAATATACTACTTAAGATCTTCCCAGTAAGCAAGAAACATTAAATCTACTTTTTAAAATGTTGATATGTATGTTATTTTATCTTTGCATGATGTTTTGTAAATATTACGTAAACACATAACATGGCTTTTGAAATATTTTTTTAAATATTTCAAAAACATGAATTATTTTTATAATGTTACCGTAACAATATTTATTAGACGTAAATATAATATATCAGCGAATGAAGTTGAAGTGTGAATGTTTTTTTAATGACAAATCTATGTTGATTTTTTTATTGATTGTTGCTGTAAAACAATATTGATATTAAAGTTGCTCAGCCGGAATCTTAACGCAACATTATTTACAATATTATCCCATGTTACCAATGGTATTCCCATTTCAACATTACCGAAATCTCTATAGATTGCGATTAAAGTTTGTTTAACATAATGCTGTTTTACACAATATTAAAAATAACTACTTGACAATGTTACAGGTTCTGAAATAATGTTGTAACAACGTTGTATTAATGATTTCTTGCTTACTGAGTTCTATCTAAACAAAGCATCTATAAGTTAATAAACAGAAGAGAACATGAAACATACTCATTTGGGACTAGTAATTTCTTTTGTTTAGATTTTTATGGTATGAAGAAATATAATATGATGTACGAAACTTTTTTAATATTAAGAAACGTATGATATCTAGATCATTGAGTAAATGATGATGATATATTCCTTTGCATGAGAAGGTTAAATAATGTTATAGAATGCGAATGGCGCATGACTAGCATTTTTACGGCTCGACAGTAAAAATGTAACTTGATTACCGCTATCCTTGAACTAAATAAATTTCAATCTAAACATCAGATTCTAAAAATCGGTGAAAGTCAAATAATATATATGAAAAAAGAACAAAATACGAACATATGTCGATATAGTATGAATTATTATTTTTATCAATAGAATCACAATGCAAAGAATAGTTTGCGATAGAGTTCATTTCACGAATGCCTGAGTATGACAACGATAGTATGAAAGGTAAAACGAACTTCTACATTTTTTAATATTCTATGAATTTTTATTAGATGTATCGACGACTTTTTCTCCTCGAATCTTAGTCTCTTACAAACTCCTTATTCCATTAATCTTTAAATCCATTAATCCTCTATTCTCTTAAATCTTCCATACATTTTTCGGTCCACTATTGCTAGGATACATTTTCAAAAATTCTATATACTCTACATATTATATAGAACTACATGTATTACCTTCTACGACATTCACCTTTAAATACTTGAACTTCAAATACGATTTATTATGCATTTAAAATCGCGGCTGTTCATTATTTCACATAAATTGGCCTTGTTTTGTATTGAATAAGTAAAACTTAAAATCAGACAATCAGTGGAATCAGCGCTAAATATAAAATAGAAATAAAATTATATTTTTTGAGTTATTATCGAACGAAGAGAATGAAGCAAACAAACATTATTTTACAAAATGTTGTCCTACAAGTTTCATTAATATTATATATATTAAGTATAATCTCAGAATTAATTTAATTTAGTTAGTAATGATTAATTTAATTTAATTTCAACTTTTTTGCTGCGAAATTAAAAAATGTATATAATAAAAAAAAGAAAAATAAATAGATCGAACTTAACTTATGAGACAAAATTTATGCGGTCTTCATAAATAAATAGCAAGACATAAATACAGACTTGTTTGAGAATGTAAATATTGTGTTTTTCGTGTAAGGTTGGTCATCCACGATATCCTACTGATATTATCTCTAAGCTCTCTCTATAACAAAACATTAACAAATTAATTCAATTAATATTTATTTACAATTAAATTCTTTTTCTATTGAAATCAATATTTGGGGGGAGGAAAAATAATAATTCAACTATAATAATTTCAGCAGGAATTTATTCAATTTACGATAGAATAATTGAAAAGAAAATATTCCAAACAACATAAAAACTTCTAAAAAGATTTAAAAAGAAAGATAAAAAAGTTACAAAAGTTTAAAAGGTCCTACCTTGTGATATCTTTCAAATTTGTCTGTTTTTTAAACTCTTTAAATAGTTTAAAAAATTAAGAGTATTTAAAAAATATCTAAAATTTTTCAAAAATTTAGACATTAAATATTTAAATATTTTTTAAACATTTGTATCGTTTATTTTAAATGTTTGTGTTAAGATATTATCGATCCATTTATCTCTCTTTATCACTTCTATCAAGTCGATAGTAATTCCAGCAAAACATTATGTGATATCAATTATTGAACGAAGAACAATCAAAGCTTATTGCTGAGATTATCGACAATTATCCTAAAAAATTTTGAAAATTATTTTTTATACACAAAATAATTGTTGCAAAAAAATTTCACGTTTGTATTAGCGATTGCGGTTATACGTAGATATTTAATTTTTTTAAGGAGAGATTGAAATGTAATCCTATTACAAGAAAATTCGATTATGATCCATATATCGTCACATTTCCCCATATAATCTTTCTACATATAGCAAAATTGAAATTTACTTTCTAGTAATCATTGTATTAAACTGTGGGAAGAGTTAATATTATTATATATTGTAACATATTTATTATATATCATAAGAATTCATATGTAAAATGACAAAAAAAAATCTTGCGAAATATATATACATATATGTATATACATACCTATATGTAGATATACATATAAATTATGTTATGAAAAATATATTACAGAATAAAAATACTTTATTGTTTTGGACTAATCCATTAAATATTTATATGATACATAAAAAAAAGAAGTCTAATGTATAAGCCTTATTTACAAATATTTTCAAATTGTTCTCAAATCTATATTTGATGTCGAAACTGTGCCGAAGATATATTGCGCGTTATGCAAACTCATAGCCAAATCGATATCTGGTTGTTTATAATGTTACGGCTTTTATGTATGTTTATTGTATACTGCAGAACATGTGCATTTTGCACATGTTCTGATAAGCCTTAAATAAAAGTCAATGAAACATTGTTCTCCCACTAATTATCTCATAAAAAAATGAATTTTTAGAATCAAAATTTTTTAAGATTATATTATAAGATTATATTTAAGATTAAGATTTTTTAAGATTTTATCTATATCTTAATTTTAATATTTTTTGTTTTACTTTTGTATTCATTATGGCACACACGATTGGGAGCGTATGTAAAATTAGCACTCCAAAAATTCCATAGTTCTGATTAGATCGAGTTCCCCCTTCAGTTTGAAAAGGCGAAGAGTTTTCTATAATTTATAACAAGAGTTCTATTTAATAAAAATTTCTAATTTATATTTATAAATTAAAAATGGGGCGCTAATTTCTTATCAAAATTCAGATTGAATAGTTCTGACTTGTTATAAACTATATATATATACAGGGAACTCTCCGTCTCTTCAAAATTAAGAAAAAATTCTAATTGGAACCACACGGAATTTTAATAATGTTGGAGTACTAACTTCACACACGCGAAATTCGGGGACATCTGTCATATATATATATATACATATATATATATATATA